ATTGGAAAACATGAGTCCAAGAAGGAGTAGAAGTGTTTCTCTCCTTGAGTGTATACATCAGCAATTCTTCTTTTATGCAGGTTTCATTAAAGACAAGGCATTGCAATTAAGCTGTTTGTTTGATTCATCTTTTGTTCATCTATTTCTTTTCTGGACATAGATTGTGTAAAAACTGTTCGATGTGTCCGAGTGCTTTTGGCTATTTTATCAGCCATGTTCAAGGATAGGTTACAGGCACAACGCTAATGGCTAAATACCTCTGTTTAACAGTTACTTGGGTTACAGGCACAAGGCTAACAGCTAAATACCTCTGTTTAACACCAAAGTGCTCTAATGAGCATAGAATTAAATTTAAGAATAATAATGCCTCTTTGAATAGTCCTCTGATGAGCCCAGAATAATTTTGTTTTATCATTTCACCCCAAACAAGATGATAATGCCACTAGGATTCAGGAGGCTACAGGGTGTGAAAGAGAATGAGAAGACTTTAGTGGGGAGAAGTCAGGAAAAGAACAATAAAGGAACTGGATTTAGGAAGATGATTGGCGATTGATGTTGCATTTAAATTTTTAAAGATCATCATCTTGCGGCCACAGCCGAGATTGAACTCACAAATACTTTGATTGGTGTAGTTCATAATCTTGTCAAATAGCTGAATTCTTGATGCTTTGCTAGGGCTATCAAGGGTGTTTTTATCGTGACACCATCACTAAATGGATTGCCAACCAATGCTCAGAGAGACTCCATTCACCCTCCTCTAAGAGCAGGTTTGAATTCAGAGTTTTCCTTCTCCTAGACCAGTTGCCATCCAAGGCTATAGAACCCAGTCTGTCCTGCTATTTACCCATAGCTGGAGGGAGAAGAAAGAGGATTCACACCTTTCCCAAGGGTGTTAGCACGTAAGTGAATGTAATGGATTCGACTGGAATTTGAACTCGGCTCTCCGATTCCTCAATCCAAGCCGCTATCCATTACTTCACCGTACCTCCTCTAAAGATTGTAGGTGGCTGGGAAGCAAGAAATCAGAAGGGAATTCCACAGACAAGAAGTGCGAGAAAAGAAACTATTGGAATAGACTGACAGTTGCATGTAGATGGTTCAATGGTGAGACCTAGTTGCCAATCTAGTAGCATGCTTAAATTCATCTGCAGTCAAGTCATTAAGGAAAAAATTATGATCCTTCTTCATGTACTGTGTCCTCTGAGGATGTAGGCGATCATGTCTCTTCACAACTTCCTGTCCCTTGTAGCTCTTAATAAATTATGATTACAGATCAAGACAATATTACAGGATAAAGAAACACCTAATCTCCTGATGATCCTAGAATTAAATCTTTGATTATAAAGAATTAACTTATTATAATTACAATTTTTGGTTATATATATAGTTTTTTTTTTTTTACCAAGTGATAGGTGCCTGTTATATGCCAGTTTTCTTGCGTTTTTTTTTTTACTCAATTAACCCCAAGGAAGGTGATAATGCCACTAAGGTACTGTGAAGCGGAAACCCAATCCCAAACAGATAACAAGGGATAAAAGTCTACTCATGTTCAAAAGACAGGGGAGGAGACGTTAGAAGTATAGAGTTGAAGTAGACTTTAGAAGGAAGCGGAAACCCAATCCTAAACCAAAATAAACCTTCTAAACAGGGTAGACTTTAGAAGGAAGCGGAAACTCAGTAAACCTTCTTTACTCCTGTTCAAAAGACCTGGGAGGAGGCGTTAGAAGCATAGAGTTGAAGTAGACTTTAGAAGGAAGCGGAAACTCAGTCCTAAACAGGGAACAAGGGATAAACATTTACTCCTGTTCAAAAGACAGGGGAGGAGACGTTAGAAGTATAGAGTAGAAGTAGACTTTAGAAGGAACAGGAAACCCAACCCTAAACAGGGAACAAGGGATAAACCTTCTACTCCTGTTCAAAAGACCAAGGAGGAGTGTGAATCAGACAATAGGTGAACATATCTACTTTGAACCAATGGCAACTTTTAAAATAATTGACAAGTATTTTCAGTTAATACTTTTCTTTTTTTTTTATTCTTTATCATTTTCTAATTACTACAGAACACAATTCAAATAGATTAATCCAGACAGACTGCTTGCTGAGTGATAAACACCCAGCTTCGTGTCAGTTATCAAATCAATTCACATAGATAATTCTGTAAACAATGAATTTGACATAATTACATTGAATATTTCTTTCTGAATGTTTTTTGTTGGTTTTTCATTGAGAGTTGGTGGGAACTTTCAAACTGAATGACTGGCCTCATATAAACAATAAGTGAACTAGACTTAAATTACCTGAAGCAAGATAAATTCTATTCAAAATTGACAATGGATACAAGCCTCGATTGGACACTTCAGTTCATTTAACCTTTCCAAAACTGACCAGAAACAAGTATGTCCCACATTCATGAACAATGCGCAAACATAGAACAGTCAAAACAGCCTTGTGGATAAATCTTGTTACTGTACTGCAGAAGTCAAAAGCATTTTAGCTAATTCGTGAAAAGCTTTCTCTGTGTACGTGCTGGGACATAGTAGAATAGTGAAGGGAAAATGGAGAGTTGGAAAGTTTCTTTTTAAATTTCACTGCAGTCCAGTCTGTTCAGTAATTCTATGCATTATTTTGTTATTCAGACAAATAGCCCAATACTCAATGTTTTGGCAGACATGTTCTTGATAGTGTTCTCTTCTGTGTGAAATAGCTTATTCTTAAAATTGTCTGGAGGAATAACATCTCAGAATGTATCCATCTTATAACTTTTATTAAGTGTCAGATCCACTATTTACATTATTCGGACTATTGTCCTCATCTTTGCCGCCATATTTATTACAATGTTTCGGCCGTTGTATGCTCTGGCCTTCTTCAGGAATGTCGAACTTACTTCCCCAAAAACATTTATTAGTCAAGTACATAGTCACAATTGTTTTTAACAACAGTCTCCCATCAAGCTTGTTGGTACACTATTTACATTATTCGGACTATTGTGCTCATCTTTGCCGCCATATTTATTACAAGTTGTCAGTTGTATGCTCCGGACTTTTTCAGGTGGTTGGAATGTTGAACTGAACCCTTTATTTTGCTTGCTGGGTTCCACGTGCCATATTTAATGGATGTCAGTTGTCAGTTATCTCCTGTTAATTCCCTTTTGTAAGTTCTCCACTGCCTTAACAAGGTATTGAACTCACATTGTCTTGGTCCTGTCACTGGATGTAACCAATGCCTTTTTCCACTGTGCCATGTGTCCTTGAGGACATCCATTAAACATGGCATATAGAACTAGAACAGTCTACCCCAGTGAGTGAAATAAAGGGTTCAGTTCAACATTCCAACCACCTGAAGAAGGTTGGAGCATACAATGGCCAAAACGTTGTAATAAATATGGTGACAAAGATGAGGATAATAGTCCGAATAATGTAAATGGTGTACATAATACCTCATCTCAGAAATATAGACAGATACTGAGTGTCAGATCCATTTCAAAAAACTGAACATAGAATAGTACCTTTGCCCAATACTGCAAATTGCTTTTTTCTTCTTTTTATTTATTTATGTGCCGTCTCCCTTCGGGATGTAGGCGATCATGGCTCTCCACCTCCTCCTGTCCCTTGTAGCTCTCAATAACTTTTGTCTTTTTCTTATTTCTCCCAGATCCTGTTCTGGTATCCACTTGCTTAAGCCCATTAAGTATGTCACGCATTTCTTTCCCTTGACACTCTTTCTCTCTATCCACCTTGTGAGTATCAGATTTTCCAAGCCCTCCTTTCTCATTGCATGTCCCAGAAATTTCAGCTACCTCTTCCTGATGTTAAGTATAAGTTTCCTCTTTGTTTGCATCCTCTCCAAAACCTCATTTCTTTGTTACCAATGTAATACTCTGCCTAGCTTTTGGAATGCGTCTTTGACCATCCCAATATGTCTTCAGATCTCAGCATCACCCTTTGCTACTAATAATAATTGCTATTAATCATCTGAGAGACCCCTTTCTACCTTCCATCACCATAGATGATGCTACCCTCTAGGAAAGTGACTCGTTCGCCTTCTTGGGCTAACATTCTCTGATAAAATGAAGTGGAAAGAATATATTGAATCCATTGCTAGGTCAGCTGCAAAGGAAGTTACTTCACTGTTTCAGAGACAATTTTTCTCTCCATAATCTATCATATATATCTATAACTTTACCAATCACCCATGCTTAGGATATTACTGCCACATATGGACTAGTACTCCTGCTATTTACCTTGAGCTCCTTGATAAAATCCAAAGAAGAATCTGCAATATTATTGGTCCTGTTCTGGTGGCTTGGCTTCAGTCACTTTTCCACCCCCATAAGGTTGCGCCTCTCTCTGTCTTTTCTATAGATACTTTCATGATAATTATTTAAATGAAACTTCACTATGGTACTTAGAGTTTTTGAATTTAAGCACAGTACTAGACTAGCATCAAGATCTCATCAATTTACAATTGAGCTAGTTAGATGTAGCCATACATTCTATGCTAACAGTTTCTTTTCTCACACTTCTCCCTTGTGGAACTCTCTTTTGTGTCCATGTTTTCTAGCCAACTTTTCTGTAAAAATTTAAATACAATGTCAAACGCTATCTACTGTCCTCCTCATTACTATTTTATCTTCCTGCTCATTATTAATGTTTCTGTTCCTAATTCTTTCACACCCAGTAAACGTTTATTACTCTAACATGTTCTGCTTTTATTAAAACTTCACCAGAGAATGAGATATGGAGAAAAAAAAGAAAAAACATTTTATTTTTTTGTCATTTGATTTTAATTGGTTAATCAGGTTTCATGTGCATTTGTCTTAAAGAAAACCTTTGAATAATTTTCGGTGTTCTGAATTCAAGGAGACATGATGGATCCGTTTGAAGTTCCAAGGAATTATCAGATTCCCAGCCCAACTGAAAACCTGTAAATATTGATTTATGTATGTAAGTGTATAATAAACCTAGTTTGCCAAATTATAAAAAAAACACTGGAAGGCTTAGGGCCATGTAGTGTTGAAACACTAGTTCCCATATGATCACCGAAGTTAAGCAACATTGAGCCTGGCTAGGTGACTTCTTGGGAATACCAGGTGCTGTAAGCTTGAATGTGTAGGTGGTGTAATGGATAATGTCTTGGAATTGTTAATTGGAGAGCAGAGTTCCAATTCCAGTCAAGTTATATTCACTTATGTACAAATACCATTGGGATAGGTATGAATCAACCACTTCTTACCCCAGCTATGGGTTAATTAGTAAAATGTATCACTAAAACCATTATCTTAAAAACATAATTTTTACAATCTGAAAATATTTTCTGGCTTTAAATAACCTGAAAAAGGTTGGTAAGCCGTAGAAAACGATTCAATCAATCAATAATTAACTGGCTGGAATATGTGATAAGCTTGCCTACATGTCCTCCCCTTTTCTCTCTTCTCTTCCTTTCATTCCATTTCTCTCTCCTCCTCTTCTCTTCTCATTCCATCTATCTCTTTCTTCTCTCTCTCCATCTCTTTCTCTTCTGCATGTCCTCTCATTCCATCTCTCACACTCTTCTCTCCTTCCATTTCTCTCTCTCATCTCTTCTCACTCCATCTTTCTCTCTCCTTTCCTCATCTCTTCTCATTCCCTCTTTCTCTCTCCTTTCCTCATCTCTTCTCACTCCCTCTTTCTCTCTCCTTTCCTCATCTCTTCTCACTCCCTCTTTCTCTCTCCTTTCCTCATCTCTTCTTATTCCCTCTTTCCTCCTTTCCTCATCTCTTCTTATTCCCTCCCTCTTTCTCTCTTCTTTTCCTCATCTCTTCTCTCATCCCTCTTCTTCATCTCTCCTTTCCTCATCTCTTCTCCTCCCTCTCTCTCTCCTTCCTCTCCTTTTCCTCATCTCTTCTCTTCCTCCCTTCTCTTTCTCTCTCCTTTCCTCATCTCTTCTCCTCCCCTTTCTTTCCTTTCTCTCCTTTCCCTCATCTCTTCTCTTATTCCCTCTTTCTCCCTCCTTTTCCTCATCTCTTCTTATTCCCTCTCTCTTCTCTCTCCTTTCCTTTCTCTTCTTCTCCTCCCTCTTTTCTCTCTCCTTTCCTCATCTCTTTTCTCTCCTTTTCCCTCTTTCTCTCTCTTTCCCTCATCTCTTCTCCTCCCTCTCTCTATTCCCTCTTTCTCTCTCCTTTCCTCATCTCTTCTCACTCCCTCTTTCTCTCTCCTTTCCTCATCTCTTCTCACTCCCTCTTTCTCTCTCCTTCCTCATCTCTTCTCCTCCATCTTTTTCTCTCTCCTTCCTCATCTCTTCTCCTTTCCATCTCTTCTTTCTCTCTCCTTCCTCATCTCTTCTCACTCCATCTTTTCTCTCCTTCCATCTCCTCATCTCTTCTCTCTCATCTCTTCTCCCATCTCTCTCCTTCCTCATCTCTTCTCACTCCATCTTTCTCTCTCCTTCCTCATCTCTTCTCACTCCATCTTTCTCTCTCCTTTCCTCATCTCTTCTCACTCCATCTTTCTCTCTCCTTCCTCATCTCTTCTCACTCCATCTTTCTCTCTCCTTCCTCATCTCTTCTCACTCCATCTTTCTCTCTCCTTCCTCATCTCTTCTCACTCCATCTCTCTCTATTCCTCATCTCTTCTCACTCCATCTCTCTATCTTCCTCATCTCCTCTCATTCCATCTTACTCTCTTCTCTCTTTCCATCTCTCTCTCTCTCTTTCACATGTCCTCTCATTCGTTCTCCCTATTTCTCACTCCTCCCATTCCATTTGTGTCCCTCTTCTCCCCTCATTCTACTTCTTGCCCTTTCTTTCTCCTCTTATTCCATCTCTCTCTTCTCTCATTCCATCTCTCCCCCTCTTCTCTCATTCCATTTCTCTTTCTCATCTCCTCTCACTTCATCTTTCTCTCCCTGTTCCTCATCTCCTCTCATTCCATCTCTCTCTCTCCTTGTTCCATCTTTCTCTTTTCTCTCTTACCATCTCTAACTCTCTCTTTCATGTGTCCTCTCATTCCTTCCATTCCATTTTTCTTCTTCTCCTCTCGTTCCATCTCTCTCTCTCTCTCTTCCTCTTTTCCTCTCGTTCCATCTTTCTTCCTTTCCTCCTCTCATTCTATCTATCTCTCTTCCTTTTCTTCTCTCATTCCATCTTTCTCTCTCTCCCTCCCTCTTCTCCTCTTGTTCAATCTCTCTCTCACTCTGTCCTTCTCGTTCCATTTCTCTTTTCCTCCGACCTTCTCGTTCCATCTCTCTCTCTCTCTTCCTCTGTCCATCTCGTTCCATCTCTCTCTCTCTCTCTCAATTCCTGTTGCTCAAAAGTATCAAACTGACTTAATTTCGCCTTGTGTACCCATGGATACTTGGGTGGAAACCTGCCCTCTGGTTGAGATCACCCATAAAGTCCCACATTTTTAGCAACTTGGCAACACCAGATATAAGCAATCCATTTTTGGTTTATTTTTTTTGTGTGTGCCAACCAGAGTATTATGTTATGAAAAAAATACTTCTTATATAAGAGTTCAAACCTATCATCAAAGTTGAAAACCGTCCCATTTGATGCTCAAGAATTATGGTAACTCTACCTGTGACGGTTTTAGTTTCCATGGAAATTAATAGGTGGCATTACTTTCAAAGTGTCCATGAGAAAATACTGGAAGATTTGATAGAAATACATCCTTGGCTGCTCAATAGATTTAGGCTAAAAATCCGTTTGACTTGATAACCAGTGGCTATTAGCCAATTGATTTGTTTATCCTCCTGGTAAAAACAATCCCATTTCAACAACTCTTTATTGAAAATTCTTCTTTAGGTTGAATGAATGTCAAAAGAAATATGGCAATAGTTAGAGAAAACTTTAGAGTGATTTTATTATCTCTAATGCCAGGAGAGCTCAAAAGTTAATTACAGTCAATTGAAAAAAAAAATTCTATTAATCCATTAACTTTTTTTCACATTCAGATATTTAAAAAAAAAACTGTTTTTTTTATCTAATTGGCAAAACCAAAATGGATGTTGTGAGAGAAAGAATAATGGATTTTCTTTATCACTAATTCCAGAAGAGCTTGAAAGTTAATTTCTGCCAATTTCTCTTCGGATTGGATTTCTAGGATAAGTCATCATCATTATTATTTACATTAAGACTAATGTACTCATATTATTTTATTTTTTTATTTTTATTTTATTTTTTTTATTTTATTTTATTTTTTTTTAAGCATTTCACCTCAAGGTGAGAAGCCACTAGGATGCAAGGGGTTACAGAAAATTTGGAGCAAGATCAGATAGGAGTGATAGAAGAAAGGATGAGGAGAAGGATAGTGGATAGATCAAGGCAACTGGAGATGTCGATTGACATTACATTTGAATAGCTGGAGATTATAGCTCTCAGGGAAACTGGAATAGAGAAGGGAGTTCCATATGCGAGAGGTGTGAGACATGAAGTTATTGGAGTAGAAGAGACGGCTACATTTAGGAGTTTCGACAGTGACGGGGTGAGAGCGGGATGCAAGCCTTGTAGGGCGCTTGAACTCCTGAAGTCTGGGAACCAGCAAATGCAGCTCCTTGGAGCAATTGCCATGAAAGTATTTGTAAAAAAGACAGAGAGAGGCGACGGCGCGTCTGTGAGAAAGTGACTGTAGATGAGATGCCAGAGCAGGGCCAATTATATTGCATATCGGCCTTTGGAGCCTATCAAGAACCCCGAGGCAAACAGAAGGGGCTCCAGACCATATATGGCAGCAATACTCCATGCAAGGGTGAATGGTTGATTTGTAGATTTGGAGGATCAATTCCGGGGAGAAAATTTTGCTGGCGCGCCACAGGGAGCCAAATTTCCTTGCAGTGGACGAAGCAATTGACTCAATGTATTTGTTCCATCTCAGGTCAGCAATCAACATGAGACCAAGCAGCCGCAGAGAGTTGCTCTCAAGAAGTTGAGCGTCAGACATTCTAATGGGGAGCAGGGAAGGATCTCTGTAGTAATTAATAGAGAGCAGTTTTGTTTTTGAAGGATTAAAGCTGACCAGCCAATTCCTGTCCCAGTTCACAAGCGATTGGAGGTCCTTTTCGAGACACACGGCCAAGTTAGTTTCATCAGTGACACTAGATTTGTTTTTGAGGCAGGAGTAAATTGTGGTGTCATCCGCGTAGATGCCAACTTGGGAATTTATTGTGTCAGGAAGGTCATTTATGAAGATAAGGAATAGAGTGGGATCCGAAAAGCATTCTCAGTCTTCACCCACTATCCTTGCGTATAATATATTGTCTTTTGTACCTAAATTTGTATTACTATTGGATGGCCCCCAAAAGGTTATTTTTAGAGGCCACTAGCAGTAGAGCCCGGCGTTGCCCGGGGATGTAACAGTAAGAGATAGATCAAGTATTGAACATCATAAAGACTGAAAAGTAAAATTGACAAAGATTATTGTTTAAGGTTGACGGACACGCATGTCTTAATTAGTTTTTGGGTTTTTTACAAATTGGTCAAACTGAAACAAAAACATTGTTTTCAATCGTTATGAGTCTATCGATTGAATAGAATTTTATTATAAACAATTCTCTTGTAAATGGAATTTTTAAAGCATTCTGAATGTAAAAATAAAGAAAAAAGTGTGCAAGACAATAAGAAAGACTACCTGCCAAAAAAAGTGAAGTTTTGTTGAAATCAGTTGAAAAATGTAGGAAATCCGATCCCATATATAAATGAACACACACACACACACACACACACACACACAACCTGTGATTTATAATGAGTATAACTCGATATGAGTTGTCCCCCTTTCACTCTGGCAACAAAATTTTGTTTTATCATGTTTTCAAATTGATTTCATGCAAAAACAATTGTTTTTTTTCCAATTTTGGCACTGTCAGAATGACCACAAGGTAATTTTACGTAGTCCTGTGAAGTTTTGTTGAAATCGGTTGAAAAATGTAGGAAATCCGATCCAATATATAAACATACAGACACACACACAATCTGCATTTTATAATAAGTAAGATTAGTTTTAACCAAAATAAAAACAGCACTTTGATGTTTTATATTTGTCTGTGACATTTGTTGCTTTTTATGCAGTGGGAATTAGTTTTTTGGGTTTGTTTTTTTTTCTTTCTATTTTTATTTTTATTTTTTTTTTTTTTTGTACAGTTTTCTTTCCCACAAATGAACCAGTTCTCTCAGCAGGCTTTCCTGGCAAGGCGGGTGGCTAGGCACCCAGCAGGATCAAATATATGACCTGTCAAAGTACAAAAGATCCTTTTTGTAGGGCCAATAGCTAGCTAGCCCAATGGTGTACACTGTGCTCCATAGTTAAACATGCAGTTAATGTAGTGATGATACAGGACCACTGGCAGAGAGTTTCTTAGACTGAGGTCAACAGCCAGTGTGGAGAGTTCACCCAATAGAATCAATGACCATATGTCTGTGACAAAAGCAAGCATTCAAGTTGAAGGACATCGGCTGTGGTTTCTCCTGGTGAGGGATGGGCTTCATCAGGTCTACTTGTCCAAAATATACAATGCATAAATGAATAACTCTCTGATTTTCATATTAAGAGGGAACTGGTCAGGGGCTGAGCTGCATAGTGCCACTATGACCACACCCAATTTTGTGACTGATGATGATATCCATGAATATATATATATATATATATATATATATATATATATATAATATATATATATATATATATATATATATATATATAAATAAATATATATATGTATAATTATTTATATATTATATGCGGTACTTATTAGAAAGCGCTCAATATCAGAGATAGAACTATATGTATATGTGTCTGCATACATCGATGTTTGCGTTAGTACGATGAATGACAAAACGACGAAATTTCCCCACCACTTCACAATAACACCAATACACGCAATCTACATAAACCCAAATTTTTAAAACATTAATCAGTTTGTCTGACGATCGCTAAAAGCGTGAAACCCAGGGTCACAAACTCACATCTATCAACCAAATAAATATATATATATATATATATATATATATAGGTAACTATACTTGTTTCAAAAAACCTTCGAATTTTTGATTTGCCAATAATCAAATCAATCTCAAGGGAAAGAAAGGTTTTAAAAAAAGAAAGAGCTAAAAACATGAAAGTCTGTTGAAAAAAATCACACAGATGCAGGTCTGAAGCCCAAAGAAAAAACCCCGATACGAGTAACAACTAACTAACAAAAGAGCTCAATACAACCGTAGAGCAGACCTAGATGAACCTAGTGAACCAGACAAACTTACCCAGGTTTCACCTAAGCGGATCATCAGGGAAAGCTGGGTAGGTTTGTCTGGCTCACTAAAACATATCTTCATTCAAACATGTTTCCTTGAATAATATAGACATATTATGTCTATTTATTTTTATAATAATCCTTTCTTAGTTCTCTAATCAGTTTCTTGATTTTAAGATAAAATTCAACAAGGAAGACAGTTTTTTTATTACCTAAGTACTTTTGATCTCCTACACAGTGGTTAATTACAAAAACAAAGTTATTGTAATTGTCATCTTTGTGATGGTGATTTTTAAAACCACACCTGAACACACTCTGTTTTTATAATTATTTTGTGTATTTACGATTTGGTTTAGTTCATGAGTTGATCTAATACTGTATTTGCAAGGTAAGTATGTGTTTTGGATTCCAGGATGAAATCCGGTCTCAAATGAATGACAAACGCAGGAATGAAATATAGCAAATAAATGTATTGGCATAATAATACAGTTGGTAATACGGTTAGTAGATCCAGAAATGCGGTTGGTAGCAATAATAATATATATACAGTCTGGGAAATTCAGTATCGAAGTATGACTTCCTTCTGAGTCTACGTGCTCACAACTGTGACTCATACAAAGCAGTTACCTGACACTCTTATTCTCTTACTGTTCACTGTATCACTCAATCAGTGTATCTCCCATCTAACTCCCAGGCATTCACCGGCAGCAGTACAAGTACACACTGGTCAAGTCCACTTGTATGAAAAAGGGGTGGACCCCATAACAGTATGGTTAACTGGTAAACCAGAGTGGGGATATGGGATAGGATATGATATGATGGGATGGGGAGAGAAGTGAGACTTATGTATTTTATAGTTCTATACATGTATACAGGTTTGTTGTCTCCAATTATTTTGGGGATTTTTAAGTTGCCCTTTTCTTCATTGTTGACTGTGATCAGTTTATTAATTTTTACTTATAGCAGAGCACGTTCACATGTGTTTTTAAAAATCAACGTTACAACGATCAGATTTACAACAAGTTTGTCTTTGTAATTCACCCCTGAGGATGATCTCCTAGGAGATCAAAAGTACTTGGGTAGGAAAATCTATTAATTACTTGCATTTCATTTCTTACCTGACACAAAAAAAAATTTAATTTTCTGGAAGATTGTCAGTGAAGATT